GTCGTGATCTTTTTTCATGCTTTGGATTCTTTTTTTATGTCTCCAAGCATTTTTTAAAGCATAGTTATTTTATAGTATATGTCTGATAATTCTGTCTGAAATTTAGAGGTATCTAATCCTACGGTTTGTTGGGTCTGCTGATGCTCACTCGTGGTGGATTGTTTCCTCGTGTGTTTTGAAATGATGAATTGTGAGCTCATCTTCAGCAGGGCTTTATCTACAGGAAATCCATGGGAACTTGCTGAGGGTGGGGCCCTGCACAGTGATTTTTCCTTTGCTTCTGCCCTACTTTTATCTTCTATTTCATAAACCTTTCTTTGACTGCTTTTGATAAATCACAAGCATGCATCTCTTTTGTGTTTTTTTGCCAAATCATAAAGCTACAGCATTGTAATTGTCTAGACTTGTGATGTCCGATACGATAGCCACCAGTCTCGTGTGGCTATTTAAATTTAAATTAATTAAAATTAAATTAAAAAAATCAATTCCTCAGTCCACTAGTCAGTCATGTTTCAAGTGCTCAGTAACCACATGTGGCTACTGTGGTTGGGCAGTGCAGATAGAGAACATTTCCATCCTTCTAGAAAGTTCTATTGGATAGTGCTGAATGAGAACATTTCCAGAATCCGGAAGTACCATTGCGCCCATTCCCTGTCAATACACCCCACCACCAACACCACATAAGGGTTCTGACTCCTATAGCCGTCAATTCATTTTCATGAATATAAATGAAAAATACTAAAAAAAAAAAATGGAAAATGGAAAAATAGTAAAAAAAAAAAAAAGTATAGTGCCATCCATCCCTGCTCCCCGATCTGCTCCCCAGAGGCCATCTCTTTCAACTGCTTAAGCCTGTTTCTTCTCGTGTTTGCTTCCATGTTTCTAAGTAATATGATGACATTGCTATTTATGGATTTATCAATTTTAGACATTCTTTACGCACTTCCTAGTACAGTAGATGAGACTTTAGCTCTATTATGCTGGCTCCACTCTCCCTCCCCACCCCCCAAAATCATAATTTTTGTTTCAATCAATAAAGTTAAAAGTTAAGATAATATAAATATCTTTCTCTGCAGAGTCAAGTAGTGTACTAGAATTTTATACAAACTTTTGTGCTTTCTAGAATTAATAATTACGTTTGTCACTTCTTAATTTTATATGCAACTGTTCTTGGCATGGAGCCCTGGTGGTGCAGTGGTTAAGAGCTTCAGTGAGCTACCACTGCTAACCATAAAGGTAGGCAGTTCAAGTCCACCAGCCGCTTCTTGGAAACCCTATGAGGCTGTTCCATTCTGTGCTATAGGGTCACTATGAGTCAGAATTGACATGACCTCAACGGGTTTGGTTTTTTTTTTCTTATTCTTAATACTTTTCAAATGTTTAGGATCTGTCATACTCTTAACAATACATTTCAATTTTTTTTCCTTCCTCTTGAAGCCCTCCCTCTATCCTGCTTGAATCTGAATTAGCTGCTCTCTAGGCTTACTCTGGAGCCCTGGTGGTGCAGTGATTGAAAGTTCCGCTGCTAATCAAAAGATAGGCAGTTCGAATCCACCAGCTGCTCCTTGGAAACCTTACTGGGGCAGTTCTGCTCTGTCCTATAGGGTCGCTGTGAGGTGGAACTGACTCGATGGCAACGGGTTTGGTTGGTGTTTGGAGGCTTACTCTAACCCATTCTAGGACTTCCGTAAATTGAATCCTGTTTCCTGGATCCCATTTCATTGTCTTTCTTGGTTGACTCCTTGTTTTGCTGGAGCACGTCCTCCAGTCATTCCCTTAAAAGGGTGAAGGGGAAGTAAGCATTTTTGAGTTTTTGCACAACTAAATTTATCTTCATTGTACCCTCACACTTTATTATTGTTTGGCTAGATATAAAATTCTAAGTGGAAAATTTGAAAGTATTCCTTTGATTCAAATCTATTTGGTTTCTGAGTTGGAATACAAGTTTGGATAACAAGGGAGATCTGTCACTTTTCCCTCAGAAATTTTTCTATTCTCCTCTCCTTTGAACTTGTATTTGATCTATTCTTTTTCTGGAAGCTTTTGGGGTCGTCTCTCTTTCTCTAGTTCTGAAATTTCATGGTGTTATGCCTTGGTGTAGTCTTTATTCATTAATCACCCTGACCCTTAGTCTGTTTTTTCAATCTGGAGACTCATGTCCTCTGGCTCTGGGGAATTTTCTTGTTTATTTCTGTGTAAATTATTTCCTCTTCATTTTCATGTTTTTTTCTTTTTAACTTTTATTTATTTACTAATAATTTATTTTATTTTTGTTGTTGTTGAGAATATACACAGGAGAACAAACACAAATTCAACAATTTCTACATGTACATCTCAGTGACATTGGTTACATTTTTCAAGTTGGGCAACCATTCTCAACCTCCTTTTCGGAGTTGTCCCTCCCCCCTTAACATAATCTCACTGCCCCTTAAGTTTCCTATCTATTTTTTTGAGTTGCTGTTGTCAAGTTGATCCCATATAGACAGATCTTAAACGAGTACAATGCTCAAGAAAGACATTCTTTACTAGGTAAGCTAAACTACTTGGTTTTAAGAAGATGACAGGATATTTTTGTTTTGAGGTTTAAAGCTTATCTGAGGGCAGTTTCAAGTGTTCATCCAACCTCCATGACTCCAGAAAGTTTGATTTCTTGTTCTTTTTTATTAGAATTCCTATTATATGAATGTTGGAACTCCTGTTTTGATCCTCTAATTTTCTTATCTTTTCACTGCTATTTTCCATCCCTTTGTCAATCATTCCCTATTATCTAGGAAATTTACGTGACTTTATCTTCCAATCCTTCTATTAGAATTTACCTTTAAGCTATTATTTTTTAATTCCCATCAACTTTTTCTTGTTCTTTCATTATTCATTTTTCATAACATCCAGTTCTTGTTTTATTGATGCAATTTCTTCTTTTAACTTGCTAAGCATTTTTAAAAAGCATTTTAATTAAAGATGTTTTTGTTTCATAGCTTTCTTCTGTTTCCTATATTATGTCTGTTTCTTCTGGGTTTCTCTTATTCTGTATGTTTACTCTAGTCTGATCCATTGCTTATACAACGGATGTATTTTAGTTTCCTGTAGCTATGGTAACAAGTTACCACAATCTTGGCGGCTTAAACAATACAGCTTTATTACCTTACAGTTCTAGAGGTCAGAAGTCTGAAATGGATCTCACTGAGCTAAAACCAAAGTTGTCAGCAAAGCTGTGTTCCTTTCTGTAGATGCTAAGGGTGAATCTTTTCCCTTGCGTTTTCCGGCTTCTAGAAGTTACCTGCATTCCTTACTTCCTTTCCCCCTTTCATCTCCAAAGCCAGCAATTGCATCACTCCAACCTCTGCTTCCGTCGTCACATCTCCTTCTCTGATTCTCTTGTCTCCCTCTTTTCCTTATAAAGACCTTTGTGATTACATTGGGCCTGCCCAGATAATCCAGGATAATCTATCTCCCTGTCTCAAAATCCTTAGCTCCATTGCTAGTGGGAATGTAAAGTGGTGCAGCTACTGTGGAAAACAGTTTGGCAGTTCCGCAAAAAGTTGAACATAAAATTACCATATGAACCAGCAATCTCAATCCTAGGTATATACCTAGAAGAAGTGAAGGCAGAAATGCAAACAGAAACCTGTACACCAAGGTTCATTGCAGCATTGTTCACAGTAGCCAAAAGGTGGAAATAACCAAAATGTCCATCAGATGAACGGATAAACAAAATGTGGTACATACACGCAATGGAATACTACTCAGCCAGAAAGAGAAATGAAGTCCTGATGCATACCACAACATAGATGAGCTTTGAAAACATCATGCTGAGTGAAATTAGTCAATCACAAAGGGACAAATATCGCATGATCTCACTTATATGAGCTACCTAGAATAGGCAAATATAGAAACCAAAGTTTACTAGTGGTTACCAGCAGCGGGATATGGGGGGAAGACAGAGTCATTGTTTAGGAAGCACTGAGTGTCTGTTGATGGTGATGGAAAACTTGACAATGGATACTGGTGATGGCTGCACAACATGATTAATGTAATCGGCGTCACTAAATTGTATACTTATAAAACATTGAATTGGCAAATGTTGTGTTATATGTATTTTTTACAATTAAAAAAAAAGTTCCTGCTCTTGTAGAGCTAACATACCAGTCAGTGAAAGGGACAGACAAGCAAAAAAAAAAAAAAAGAAGCAAAATAGGTATCATATCTGATGGTGATCACTATTATGGAAAGCAACTAAGCAGGAGTGGTTACCACAAACTCGGTGGTTTAAAACAACACACATTTATCCTCTTATGGTTCTGGAGGCCAGAAGTTCAAAATCAATCTCACTGGCGGGAGATCAAGGTGGCAGCAGAGCCGAGCTACTTCCGGGGTCTCTAAGGGAGAATCTGTTTCCTTGCCCTTTCCAGCTTCCAGAATTTCATTCCTTGCATTCCTTGGCTCATGACGCCTTCTTCCATCTTCAGAGCCGTCAGTGTACCATCTTGCTTCAGTGGTCACATTGCCTTCTATCTCTGTCCTGTTGTGGAATCTCCCTCCTGTAAGGACCCTTGTGATTATGCTTAGGCCCACCTGGATAATCCAGGATTATCTCCCCATCTCAGCATCCTTAACTTCATCACATCTGCAAAGTCCTGTTTTTTTTTTTTTTTTTTTTTTTTGAGAACAAGTAGTTTATTGGGGTGAAGCATTGGTGATTCAGTAGTAGAATTC